GTCCACAACTCACTTGTGTTCTACTCGTGCATATAACATCAACATAAATAACCTAGGCTCGGATGCCACTGTTGGGGAACGTAGTAATTTCAAAAATTTTCCTACGCACACGCAAGATCATGTGATGCATAGCAACGAGGGGGAGAGTATTGTCTACGTACCCAACGCAGACCGACTGCGGAAGCGATGACACGACGTAGAGGAAGTAGTCGTACGTCTTCACGATCCAACCGATCAAGCACCGAAACTACGGCACCTCCGAGTTCGAGCACACGTTCAGCTCGATGACGATCCCCGGACTCCGATCCAGCAAAGTGCCGGGGAAGAGTTCCATCAGCACGACGGCGTGGTGACGATCTTGATGAACTACAGCAGCAGGGCTTCGCCTAAACTCCGCTACAGTATTATCGAGGAATATGGTGGCAGGGGGCACCGCACACGGCTAAGGAACAGATCACGTGGATCAACTTGTGTGTTCTAGGGTGCCCCTACCTCAGTATATAAAGGAGCCAAGGGGGGAGGGGGGCGCCGGCCACCTCTCCTAGTCCTAATAGGACTAGGGGAAGGGGAAAGGCGCGCAACCCTTGTGGGCAGCCCCTTCACCTTTCCACTAAGGCCCATGAAGGCCCATATGGCTCCCGGGGGGTTCCGGTAACCTCCCGGTAATCCGGTAAAATCCCGATTTCACCCGGAACACTTCCGATGTCCAAACATAGGCTTCCAATATATCAATCTTTACGTCTCGACCATTTCGAGACTCCTCGTCATGTCCGTGATCACATCCGGGACTCCGAACAACCTTCAGTACATCAAAACTCATAAACTCATAATATAACTGTCATCGAAACCTTAAGCGTGCGGACCCTACGGGTTCGAGAACAATGTAGACATGACCGAGACACGTCTCCGGTCAATAACCAATAGCGGGACCTGGATGCCCATATTGGCTCCTACATATTCTACGAAGATCTTTATCGGTCAGACCGCATAACAACATACGTTGTTCCCTTTTTCATCGGTATGTTACTTGCCCGAGATTCGATCGTCGGTATCCAATACCTAGTTCAATCTCGTTACCGGCAAGTCTCTTTACTCGTTCCGTAATACATCATCTCACAACTAACATATTAGTTGTAATGCTTGCAAGGCTTATGTGATGTGTATTACCGAGAGGGCCCAGAGATACCTCTCCGACAATTGGAGTGACAAATCCTAATCTCGAAATACGCCAACCCAACATCTACCTTTGGAGACACCTGTAATGCTCCTTTATAATCACCCAGTTACGTTGTGACGTTTGGTAGCACCCAAAGTGTTCCTCCGGCAAACGGGAGTTGCATAATCTCATAGTCATAGGAACATGTATAAGTCATGAAGAAAGCAATAGCAACATACTAAACGATCGTGTGCTAAGCTAATGGAATGGGTCATGTCAATCAGATCATTCAACTAATGATGTGACCTCGTTAATCAAATAACAACTCATTGTTCATGGTTAGGAAACATAACCATCTTTGATTAACGAGCTAGTCAAGTAGAGGCATACTAGTGACACTTTGTTTGTCTATGTATTCACACATGTATTATGTTTCCGGTTAATACAATTCTAGCATGAATAATAAACATTTATCATGATTATAACGAAATAAATAATAACTTTATTATTGCCTCTAGGGCATATTTCCTTCACCGTTAGCCATGATGGAATCCATCTCGCTACGGACCGCATCCTTCCAGTAGTCAGCTTCTGGAGAGGCATACGCTTCTGAAATAGAAGTGGGAGTATCATCCACGAGGTACACGAAGAAATCATCACCAAAGGTCTTTGCAGTCCTTTGTCTCTTGCCCCTACGAGGGGTTTCCTCGTCATCCTCCTCAGGATTTTCATCATGTGTTCATTCATAATATTCCATAGGAATGGTAGGCTCAGGAGTCTCCTCAGATTCCTGTCTAGAAGTGCTTTGCATATCTCTCATAGGAAAAATATCCTCAAAGAATGTAGCATCCTTAGACTCCATAATTGTACCGACCTTCTGGTCAGGTACCTCAGATTTCACTACTAGAAATCTATAGCCAACGCTGTTCTTAGCGTAGCCCAAATTAACGCAGTCCACAGTCTTGGGTCCAAGCTTACGCTTTTTGGGGATCGACACGTTAACTTTCGCCAAACAGCCCCAAGTACGCAAGTACGAAAGTGTTGTCCTTCTCTTTGCCCATTTCTCATAGGGAGTGATCTCATTATCCTTTGTCGGAACTTTATTCAGGACATGACATGCCGTCAATATAGCCTCCCCCCACCATGCCTTGGATAAACCCGATGTATCTAACATGGCGTTAACCAGATCAGTTAGAGTACGGTTTTTTCGCTCGGCAACCCCATTTGACTGGGGAGAATAGGGAGGCGTCCTCTCATGAATAATGCCATGTTCCGCACAGAAGGAATCAAACTCACTCGAGAAGTACTCTCCACCACGATCCGACCGGACTCATTTAATTTTCTTTTCAAGTTGGTCCTCAACTTCTGCCTTATAGATTTTAAAGTAGTGTAGAGCCTCATCTTTAGTATTTAACAGATATACATAGCAATATCTAGTGGAATCATCTACCAATGTCATGAAGTACTTCTTTCCACCTTTAGTCAACACGCCATTCATCTCACAAAGATCAGAATGTATGAGTTCTAACGGTGCCAAGTGTCTCTCCTCCGCAGCCTTGTGAGGCTTGCGAGGTTGCTTAGCTTGCACACATGACAGGCACTTAGAACCTTTGGCTAAAGTGAAACTCGGGATTAAATCCAACTTAGCTAGCCGCGTCATAACACCGAAACTTATGTGACAAAGACGTGAATGCCAAACCTCAGATTCATTAACACTCGAATGAATATGGTTCACGACTTTATTACAGAAATGTGCGAGGGAAAGGCGAAACATCCCTCCGCTCTCATAACCTTTTCCAACAAATAGTCCATACTTAGTAACAACTAATTTATTAGACTCGAATACCAACTTAAACCCTTCTCTACATAGAAGGGAGCCACTAACGAGGTTCTTTTTGATGGCGGGGACATGCTGCACGTTCTTCAGCTGCACGATCCTTCCCGAAGTAAACTTCAGATCGACCGTGCCAACACCATGAACAGAAGCACTCGCGCCATTCCCCATCAATACGGACCTGTGGCCTGTGACCTGGTAAGAAGAGAACAATGAAATGTCAGCACACACATGAACACCTGCACCTGTATCCACCCACCAATCGGTAGGCTGAAACACTGAAAAAACAGTAAATAAATTACCGTACCCAGATGCACCATTCTCATTGTTGCCCACAATCATGTTGACAGACTTGGAGTCCTGTCCTGACTTCTTAAACTTGTTTGGGCACTTGTTGGCCCAATGTTCAGCCGAACCACAAGTAAAGCAGCCCTCATCCTTCTTGTTCTTCTTGAAGGTCTTCTTACCCTTCTTCTTGAAGTCGGTATTCTGTTGGACACCGTTCTTTCCCTTGAACTTGTGGGAGTTGAAGTTCCACTGGTTCACCATGTTGGCAACAGAAGTCCCTTCGGCCCCTTTTCCGTGCGAGTCCTTTGCCCTCGAATTCTGCTCAACACTCAGATGGCCAATGACATCCTCCACAGAGAATTCACGCCTCTGATGTTTCAGAGTGGTGGCAAAGTTCCTCCAGGAATTGGGGAGCTTAGCGATTATGCAGCCCGCGATAAACTTGCCCGGTAACTCGCACTTCAGAAGCTCAAGCTCCTTAACAATGCATATTATCTCATGAGCCTGCTCCAGTACAGGACGGTTCTCAACCATCTTGTAATCGTGGAACTGCTCTATAATATACATCTCGCTCCCTGCATCGGCGGCCCCGAACTTAGATTCGAGCGCCTCCCCCAAGTCCTTGGCGACATGCACATGTAAATATGCGTCGACCAGTTTATCTCCGATCACGCTAAGAACTGCTCCGAGAAACACAGTGGTTGCCTAGTTTATCTCCGATCATGCTAAGAACTGCTCCGAGAAACACAGTGGTTGCCTCCCTGAACGCCTTCTCCTGATCAGGAGCAATCGTTCCCGTGGAGACACCGGTGACCCAGAACACGTTCATAGCCGTGAGCCATAAAGTGGTTTTTGTCTGCCAACGCTTAAAGTACGTACCGGTAAACTTATCCGGTTTCAGTGCCGCGGCAAAGCCACTTGCCGAAAAATTCCTACACATAATAGGTTTTTGGATTGCTAAGAAAATAGGCAATTTTTCGACTAATTTAATCCATAAGTAGATAACTAGCATGGCATTGACAGAACTATAAACATACTGGTACTGATCTAAACAAGCACGTACTACGCAAATAATAGACAAATCTACACATGATGCTAGCACTGCTAATACAGAAATTATCAGGAGAGGGATAAACGCGGTATACCCTCCAGTAGGCCATGCAGAAGCCGCTGCCGCGGTGGCAGCAGCAGAAGCGTCCTCGGCAGCCTTCTTGTCGGCCTCGGTCTTCTCGGCGGCGGCGCGTTCGGCGTCGTTGGACATGGTGATGACGCGGACGTAGTGGATCGGAGGCGAGCAGTCGCGTAGTCGCTTCCCAAAAACCTATTCGTCTCTCTCCCGTACAGGAACCAGAGAGACGGAGTTTCGGAGACCTGCTCTCCCGTCGACCGTGTACGCGGAGGACGGGATGGAGTCACCGGCGGCAGCAACAGTAAGGGAACGAAGGTGGGCGATTCGCGTGGAGCAGGTGGCGGGCGGCGGAGGAGGAGCGCGCGAGGGCCTCTTCTCTTCTCAAGCTCCAATAGCATGTGGAAGAGCCATCCTTATAAACCACTCAAACTTTTCTTCCACTAACATGGTGGGACTAAACTTCTCACCACCTTGTCATGCCACCTACATGGGCCCTTAGAGATCAAATCTGAAATTGTCATATGGGCTCTAGGCCTATCTCACATTTCAACATGAGCATCATTAGCCTGCTGAGGCACAGGAACCTTGTGCAGCTCATTGGCTGGTGCCATGGCGGCGGCGGCGAGCTTCTCCTCGTGTACGATTTGATGCATAATGACAGCCTTGACACCCATCTCTACAGACAAGACTCGGTGCTCATGTGGCCGACCAGGTATGGGTGCTACCCTAATTAACTATTCCCTTCATTTTACAATAACTATATTTTTTGGTAATATCACTGTCAAAGTGGCAGTCACTAAACTTGCATCTAATGTGCAGTTTGGTGCTACAAGTTTCAAAATACGGTTTTTTGGTCAGGTAACTTGCCACGCATGCACGGGGCCACTGTCGGTGACCGAAAACGTTTTAGAGCGACCCACGGTGTTTTTTTTGCATAGAACCCCCTCGTGTAAAAAAGTCCTTGCTAACAGTGGCCCCAACATAATTCTGTAGGTCTACTCGGTCTGCAAATCCTCCCAATTTCCTGTACAAAGAAATCTATCAATGCGTAGAGATTTTTTTTGTTTGAAAGTCTTTGTATAAAGAAAACTAGCAATACGTACTCCTCCGTGCAAATATTAAATTAGTATCATGAGATTCATTATGAAATATTTTTTTGAGGGGATGTATATTTTATTTATTTGATATTGTAAATATTGACACATTTTGCTATAAACTTGGTCAAACATACAAAATTAACTTGAGAAAAACTAATATACCTTGTACTTCGGAACAGAGAGAGTAGTATTAGAAGAATTTTTTCACTAACAAGTCTGTAGATGTTAGTTCCATAAAACCGAGGTTCCTCTATTAATATTTTCTACACTTTACTATAATACTTTTGACAATTGTAGGTACGAGATAGTGCTCGGAGTAGGTTCTGCACTTCTGTACTTGCATCAAGACACGGAGCAGAGAGTAGTTCACAGGGACATCAAACCAAGCAACATCATGCTAGACGCTTACTTCACTGCCAAGCTCGGCGACTTCGGGCTCGCAAGGCTCATCAACGATGGCCGGAGATCGCACACGACCGGCATAGCCGGCACCATGGGGTACATGGATCCGGAGTGCGTGCTAGCTGGCAGGGCGAGCGTCGAGTCGGACATGTACAGCTGGGTGGTCCTCCTCGAGGTGGCCTGTGGACGGCGACCAGCTCTGGTCCAGGACGACGGCGACGTGATCCACCTAGTGCAGTGGGTGTGGGACTTGTATGGCAGAGGAAAGACCCTCTCAGCCGCCGATGCGCGACTCAAGGAGGAGTTCGATGGCCTGGAGATGGAGCGTGTGATGGTTGTGGGGTTGTGGTGTGCGCACCCTCACCGTGGCATGCGGCCGTCCATCAGACAAGCCATGAACGTGTTGCGGTTTGGAGCGTCATTGCCTGCCCTCCCGGCACGTTGGGCCACCAACTATTCCTTTGAGCTCCGGAACGTTGGTCACGAGCAGCGTCAGTGGCCGATGATATGTCAGGACACGGCCTGGATTTATCCTTCCTTTTTTGCCGCTTGAAATGTAGAGCGAATTTTGATCTCCCTCTTGTACAACCATCCACATGATCAAGAGTTGGGTCGCTTGATTAAGCAAACGGATGCCATTGCAAAAGATTCTTCTGATTTTCATTGCAAGATTGGAGTTGATGATGACGACAAATCTATGTGAACATGTTGATCTATGTGTACCACTCACACCTGACGTGTTAAATGTGGTACTGAAAACCGGCAGGTCTCATTATAGGGTTGCTCATGGGGCAGAGTGCGCATAGAGAATCTTGATAAGATACACACGAAATGAGCATTGCCCGGGTTCAAGCCCTTGCGGTGGAGGTAATATCTTATATCCTTCATGTTTGATTGTATTGATTGATGTCTCATATGAGAGATATTGGATGTTGACTTAGGAGACTCCTACCTCCCCTTATATAGACTTTTTTTTAGAAACCTCCGCTTATATAGATGGACAAGGGGTAGGGGGTACATGGGCCCAAGTCAGTTTAGATAGTAGAGTCCTATTAGATCTATTAATACATCTTTGAGAGGATATCCCTTCGCTCGTACCCAAGGGCACTCAACCGCTTAGGGTTTCTCGTGCCTCCTGGCGGCATCACCGTCGGTCTACCTCGTCTCTTGTGGTCTTAGGGTCAAGGAGGCGTGGTGGATCTCGGTCCTTGCTGGTGGGAGGGCTCTGTTATCAGGTGTTTTTTATATAGTTTTGTTAGGATTCGTGTCCTGCTTAGAGAGCAAAGCGGTGGCGGCTCTATGAAGATGAAATAAGGTTCTCTCTGGCTAGCCCCCACCCCGGTGGTGCTTCTAGCGTCATCGGAGAGCGTGAGGAAGTTTCTCTCCGATGGATCTCTTGAGATTCAGTCGGGGTTTGTCTTTGATGGATCCACGTGGATCCAGTCTATGTTCGTCTTTGTTCCTGTGTCTACAGGTTGGACCCTCCTAATTTATGTGCCTCTTCATCACTGGCGGTTGTTATTCTGGTATGCTGGTCTGATGGGGCCTTAACACGGCAACTTCCCGATTGTCTACTACAACAAGACTTGCCCGATTCCGATGAGGATGGAGCGATGACAATGGCACACCTTCGGCTCGCTCCAGTACCTGTTGTCGTTGTTGGGTGGTCTATGGAGCTAGATGTATTTTTTACTTTTGGTGTTCTTTGTACTACCTTGATGGTTGATCAATAGACGAGAAGTTTTCCTCCCCAAAAAATGTAATCAATTAATACATGACTTGGAGTACAATACAAGTAAATAGGTGTCCTTCTGTAGGAGGCAACGCTAGCAGGATGAGGAACCTAGGTCGTTGTTGGGCCCCGAGGTCGGTCTGCAACCGACTTTCCCGGAAGTTGTATATCGATGGTACTATGCACCGTCAGTGCTCAGCTTAGATGTGGTGATGAGGAGACTAGAATGGACTTGGGTGTGCTCCGCGAGGTCGTGGACAATGACTTGGACCAGCCGGTGCACTCGAACCATGGCAGCAGCATCGTCTGTGGACGGTCGGAGACAAAGAAGAAGAAGTCAAGGCTGGGGCTTGGAATCCTAAAACTAAACAAGATGTCTTCTTGGGGGAAAGATAAAGGGGTACCACATCTCAATGTGAGAGTGGTCAATGATGAGTATCGTAGATGCTTGCAATTGTAACTCTAACCCTAACCCAGGAGACAAAGAAGAGATGAGCTTATGTGAGAGTTGAACGCCGCCAGCGATTCCTCGCTGCTATCATCGTCGTTGCAAGAGACCATGGCATCCCGCAGATGGGCGATGAGGAGGCCGAGAGATTTTGACGGCAAGCAGTAGAGCAGCGGGAGGGATTAGCAGAGGAGCACAACACGAGGGGGCGGGGAGGGGAGGTGGAATGACCGCGGAACGAGTATGGGTTGAAACCTAGGCTCTGACCAAGCGTGTTGTCCCAGCCGAGCATTAACGGTTGTTAACGGCTCGTCGTCAACTCTGCCACCACATGGGCGCTTAGACATGTGAAAGAAGGCTCATTTTTTGTTTTTTTTGCCACCGTCAACAATGGTGTTAGGTTCATTTTGCCACAATTTGAATTGTGGTGCTTTATTTGCGAGTTATGACATAATTGTGCTGTCAAATCATAATAATCATATATTTTAACGTGTAGTGATTAACCAGGACTACTGGCTCACTTTTGTCCTTGTATAGTGTTGTGCGAGCAGTACACCAAAATTGGGTTAAACGCTTTAGTATAGTCTTATTGTAATACACTAGTAGAAAACAGGGCTTTGGTTGAGGCTTGGGTAATGGCATTAATTCCGGTTCACTCATGAACCGGGACCAAAGGGTGCATCAGTCCCGGTTTGTGCGGCCAAGGTGCCGGCCGGGCCTCGGGGGCCATTGGTCCCGGTTTTTCTGACCCCTTTGGTCCCGGTTTCAGACACGAACCGGGACCAATGGGCCTCGCTTCTGGCCCACCACCTTTAGTCCTAGTTCGTGGCTGGAACCGGGACCAAAGGCCAGTCTTCTTTCCCGGTTCTAGCCACCAACCGGGACTAAAGAGAGGCCTATATATACCCCCTGGCCGCTCACTCCTCTGTTCTCAATGTTCTTTTTTCCCCGACCGTGGGAGAGGTGTGTGTTGCTCTAGCTTACCTCCTATGCACATCAGGTGTTCGATCAAAATGCCCGAGCCACACTTAAACTTTCTCCTCTCCAAGTTCCTTGTCCAAGCTCCATTTGCCTCAAGATTTGTCTAGGTTTGGCTGTCCGTCCTGTCCCGTCCCCGTCCTCACCGCCGTCGATCGCCTGCATCGATCTCGTCGTCGGCACCGCCGTGGTGAGCCTCTTGTTCTTATCTTCTTTCTAAAATAAAAAAAAATTCTTACTTGTATGATTTAGATAGATACTTGTGTAATTTTCTTATTTTTATTATTGTTTATTATTATATAGTGTGATGGTTTTGGTATCCTTCCCCGTCGGCCCTTATCCTGTCTATGATTCGAATTTGATATATATATTATCTTTTATAACTATTTCTTTCATTTAGTGTTTATGACAATTATGCCGACCAACATGACATAGATGTTTTATCTAGGGGGTATGTGAACCAGAAATTCCAACTGACCCTCTTGTCGAGAGGTTAATTTAGTTGAAAAAGAAAATGATTACTTGAACAAAAAAATGAAAAGAATTGAGGAGGAGAAGATGGCATTGGAGTTGCATGTTGCGGATATCGTGGACGATCACAAGATCAAGATGGATAAAATGCGCTTGCAGATTAGAAAAATTAAAAAATATGCCATTCATACTGACGCTTGGTATCATTATGTCGTTGGATCAATTGTTACATTAGTTGCAATTATGATCGCATTTGTTGTTGCATTGAAATGTTTTACATAGTTTCAATATATGGTTTAATTAGATGCTCTAGAGAGCTATATGTTGTTCAATGAGAACTATGTATGAACTTTATGTATTTATTTTTTCAGTAATAACATTTGATCACTATTGTTCTTTGGTTTTAATGTGATGATGAACTTCTATTAATTTGGTCACTTCTCTATTCATGATGTTCTGTAATGGTTTTTTGACACACTTAATTATATATAATGCACGCAGATGAACCCGCAATGGATGTACGATGATAGACGCACCTCCGAGTACATTAAGGGCGTGCATAATTTTTTGGATTGGCTAAGGCAAACAAGCAGAATGGTTTTATGTGTTGTCCATGCCCTATCTGTGAGAATACGAAGTCTTACTCTAATCAGAAAACCCTTCACATCCACCTGCTTGAGAAGGGTTTCACTGCAGGAATCAGGCACTTTGCCATCTGCCATGGCTGACGACAAAGGCATGGATGGCAGACGGCCCCACGTCCGGCTGAACGAACTACGGCAAAGGGCTGCTTTGTCGTCTGCTTTTATAAAGCGGATGACAAAGAAGTTTGTCGTTAGCCATCCAGGGCAAGAAGACAGCAAAGGGCATGGACGACAGAGGGTAGGGTTAGGTCTGTTAAGGGGTTAACGACATGCTTTGTCGTTTGCTCGCAGACGACAAAGACCTTTGCATCTTTGCGGCCTGTCAGCAGACGGCAAAGTGCCCAAATAGGCCAGCCCCCAGGTGCCCCCAGGTAGCTGCCACGTGGCTTGCTATGCCGTCTGCTGGCAGACAACAAAGGTGCAATGATCTTTGCCGTCTGCCAGCAGACGGCAAGCAGACGGCAAAGCAACCAAATAGGCCAGCCCAGTGCCCCCATGTTGTATAGGTAGATGCCACGCTGTATTGCCCCTGTTTATTCTGTTTTTTTTTCTTAAATTCAATCAATTTCACACACACACACACACACACACACACACATATATATATACATTTGAAAATACTTTCAACAAGCATACATATCCCTGCCATATGGATATGATCATCCAACACATATACATACCAAATTGAAAGTCCATATCCAACATATATATAGCCAACATATCCTACAACAAGCATATATACAATGGTTTCATCCATACATACATATATAGGTAGCAAGTTTCATATTGTTCATCCTACAAAATCAAAACAAAAAGGGAAGGACAAGGAGAAGAGTAGACTCCATCAATGCAAGCTTCCCGATCTAAAGCAAATTTGCAAATTGGGAAAGAATAAAGTTAGAAGAAGAAGAAGAAGAAGAAGAAGAATAAGAAGAAGACTAGAAAAAGAAGACTAGCTAGAAGAAGAAGAAGAAGAAGAAGAAGAAGAAGAAGAAGAATTTTTCCTCTCTTTGTTTTTCTCTTCTTCTTTATCTTCTTCTTCTTCTAACTAAGGTAACTGTCGTGGTGGGCGCACGGCAGGTGCCATGGGATGGCTAAACAGAGGAGGAGGCTCGAGGGCACTGGTGGGCTCCAGAGGCGGGGTTGGCATGAGCGAGCACGGGACGCAAGACATACCTAGGTTCAGGGCTCTCCGGAGAGATAACACCCCTAGTCCTGCCGAGCGTGGTTGATATGCGACAGTACAAGGTTGCTCCTGGAGCTGTATGGAGGAGGAAGGA